TGCTATTGTGAAGACAAATAAACGGGACAAAATAGACTCCATTGTAATCTATAAATAACCAAAGAGTCAGGTCAAGTCCATGGATTTGCTTAATGGATCAAGAATATTGTACTATATGAATCACGGCCACTTACCTGCTGAGCTTATGAAAGCTGGAGTTTTCATCACTGCTAATACATTGACATCTAGTGGTGAATTACAGTAATGCACCTCAATTCATGCACTGAAGGATATTCAACATCAGGACATCAAACAAACATATGCAAGAAAGAGCTGAAAAAAAAATGCTGCAATAACCGAGTCACAGGCTAAATGTGGCACAGCTATATATTACAGTGTATTTTTTGTACATATTTGTACGTATTTACACATATTTGTGGAAAGTGCAAGAAGCTTCTATATTCAACATTAAATATACTTGTGTTTAATAATATTGTATATGCAGAGTTATTTAAATATCTGAATTGTGAAAACATTTGATACTGTATTTCTCTGGCTGGCTTCAAATTACAGCACTGCCCAAACATCTGAGTTCTGATGATAATCACGCCACAAAATTAATATTGCAAGATTGCGTCTTTTTATATATACTCATCCATAATATGTTTAGGCTTAGCAACATTTTTTGGAGGACATCCTGGAAATGAATCCTTCCACTGTCTCATGATCAGCTTCATATACCACAATGGCTACAAAATATTTAATGAGCTTTGACTTGGGAAAAGTTGGTATTCTGCATCACTGTTTTTCTGCTTATTATTTTTTTTTTAAATGATCCATTTAAAAAAAAAAGTTTTTTCCCCCTGTATGAACACACTGTGATGGCAGTATGTTTATTACATATTCATGGCTCTCAGATAAGAGGTCAGGATGACTGCAGGCAATGAAGTTGCTGAAAAAATTAGTTCCAGTCCATAAGACAAATTATGCCTGTTTTTGTAAGAGCCAAAGAACAAAGAATCAAAAGCTTCTGTTCCTCTTTGCAATATTTACTGGCTAAAAGCTTTGTCAGATGAACAGAGTGCACAAATCACATCAGTTCAAAGCTGGCTGAAGACTGCGCAAGACAGTTTGTTGACAGAGGTTATTAATAAGATTGAGAGACTCTTCTCAGATCAAAAACATGGAACCATAATATATTTTAAAATATTAGCCATATATTACCCATATAAAAAATATCACATAAAATACATAGAAAAATAAAGCTTTCATCTTTTGAATTAAAGTAAAAATCTGTATGTATTGTAAACTTACTACACTTGTTATAAAGAGGGTGTTCTGATGCTTGGGCTGTTTGGATGTTTGACTCAACAGAGGCAAATTCCTTCAGGCAGGTTTTGGAGGCAAAAATCAGTGTGGATAAGAAACAGCTCCTTAAGACAGATAAGGTTTACATCCACAGACTAGGGTGAAGAGATCTCTATTAGAATTGGAAATCTGACTGGACCACTCAAGGCTTCTCTGGTCTTTGACCTTGATAAATACCATGGCTTTCTTAACAGTGTGCTTACTAGTATAGTATACAAATATCTCCAATAAGACCCTCAGTAGTATCACACTGACTTGTGGGCAGGTTATACTAAACTAAATCTACCTATATTTATATTTTTATTAATCACAGCTCTTGTCAGGCGTGATGCCTACAAAAAGACTTCAAAAGGTTATAATTAAATAGAAAATCACTTATTAATGCATTTGAAAACAGGTTTTTAAATTGCATTTTAAAAATTTAAATTCAACATTTTTTTTTTTATGCAACAGATTATGCAACAGAAACTTTCGATCTTCCTATGTCCGTCGAGACTCGACAACCAAGTTATGCGTTCAGTGAAGTTAATGAAGACATGTAGAATTTTCCCTCATAACGGATTTATGGCTGACATAAAATGTTACGACGTTAAAATAAAGGAGTTTTAAAATTACAATTTTCTCACATTTTCTCGTCTCCCCTTCTTTTCTTCAAGGTTTGTCAAGGCACAGGTGCATCTCACCTCTCATTTTGCCACCAAAGTGAGGCAACCTACTGGAGTGCGCGCGCATATAATTCGTAAAAACAAAAACTTAGAAATGTTGCCTTGGCAACTTTTCAAAAAAACAAAAAAAAAAAAAAAAGTGGGCTACGCCATATACAACGCTTCTATGACGAGAAGGGGCAAAATAATTGAGATGGCCAGCGAGACTCTTCAGTTTTAAACAATGAAAGTGTGCAGGATCTTTTTCAATAATTAGTTACTGATCAAAGCTACTAGTCTAATTTTTATGAGGTTCCATGAGGCAAAAAAGTTTAAAAAGTGTGTTGAATCTCCATGTTAAATAACATTACCTGCCTACATGTATTTTTATTTATTTATTTTTACTTTTACGCTTAAGGCCATAGCCAGACTTTTTGTATCTTCTCTGATGTGGTGCTGCCTTTCTCCATCTCAGCTGGATATCTCACTCCACTCATCCCAGTGCTCAAAGATGGCTTTGGCATGGTGGTGGACATTAGAGGGAGCAAAGGAAACTTTCAGCATCCATCTTTGCCTGCCGTTCACCAATGCACATGGAGTTAGATGCCTTATGAGCCTGCAGGGTTCCTTTCCTGCCTTCTTTCTTTCCTTTGACTTGCTTTTCAGCTTGTCATCAAAGGAGGCAACAGCATACCACTCATCCTAGTGTTCAAAGCAGGCTTCGCTGATAGTGGAGATCTTATGTAGTGAGCACATCACATCTGACTGGCTCTCCAGCTTTCCAGCAAAGTCAGTGGTCTCCGTCCAGCCAACATTCCATGTGCTCCAGATGACATCCTCATCCCAAATAACAGTAAAGGTTTCATCAGGCCTGGAATCTCTGATGGCAAAAAGAAAACACTCAAGCATTTTTGCAATATTGGTAGCCAGGATGCCAGATCAGCCCTCTAAGGCTCCACAGCTCCTGAACTCTTCTCTCTGGCTTCTCCTCCTGACACCAGTCTATTACGTTATCCTATTTGTTCCACGACATCCAGTAGTCATTGTTGGCCCACGAGACAGAGGACTGTATTATAGCACTATGCATTGCTAGCTGCGCAACTCTGACATATTATAAAGAAATATGAATGATCTTATCAGAGCAGTGATTGTGCTCAATTTATATTGTTCTATGGAATCCAGGCTTATTATTTTACAGTCAACTGTGAAATCATCATTACTGCAGGAAAACATCAATTTACTTGTTTCAGCTTGTAGCAGCCAAATATTGTGTAAGAATATTAGTCTATATAACAAGACAATAATATAATTTTATTGTGTGTAATTTCAAGATGTCATTTTGTCAAATTATGTTATAAAACATGTAAAACTATTAGTTAATTGTGTTCACATAGATTAGCCGTAGCAACACAAAGGAGTTTTATTTTAAACATTTACATTTTATTCCATATTTAAGATTTTATTTTATTAAACACAACACATTTTCAAAAATGTGATGGAGATTACATTGCGGAACTAAATTTTTGAGTTAACATACAGTATATTGATGTGTCAAGCATTGATTTAGGTTTTTAGGACATAACATGGTCATTTAAAAAAAAAAGTATTTTTCCACTGGACTGCATGAAAAAGATACACACACATACACTACAATGAATGAGAATATGGTTTGTAACAAGTTTATTAAGAAACGAATCAAACATAACACTTCAGTTAACAGTCACAGAAAAAGAGCTAAAACCAAAGACCATATAAAAGCATTCCCACTTCTTTAGGGGGGCAAAGGGGAAAAGGAAAACAATATCAATACAGAAATACACATTTCATCATAGCGGAACCTGATAATGAAACAAACGTATACCTGCATCAATAACTTAAAACAATTAAGAAAATAAACATTTTGTTTAATCATTCATTAAAAAAGAGCCATCCACTACCTGGTGTGTACTGTATTTTGCCTTAATGCCAGCATTAAGTAAAGGGGTGAGAGAGAAACTAACAGAGGGCCAGCAAAGGTTACTTCTTTGATACACAGCATAAGACACACCTAGAAGCAGTGAGTTGATCTGCGAGACTAATTAAAGCAGGACTGTTTTGCGGACTCTGGTTTGGTCAAGTTCTCTGTCTCTGGCATCTTCAAAATATATCCAGACCTCAGTAACCGCCTGGTGCCCGGTTTCTGACCATTGTGTGCTATGAAAGCCCACTCCAACTATATAAAGCTTTAACGTTCTACTAAACCAACATTAGCTTTTCCTCAACACTCAGACAACATGAACTTGCTCTCTATAAATAAGCTCTCATTTGTGTATATTTGGTTTAAGCTAGAGGTAGGCCATACCTTCTGACTTCAGCATCCCACCCAAAAAAGAATTATTGGCCCTTAAATTCTTACCATTGGATGTGGAAAATAAAAAACAACATAGAAACGATGCATTGTTAAATATTATGTTCAAAATCAAATGTCATTGTTCTTGATCTGTTAAAAATGTTCTTGATCTGTTAAAAGCTTTAACGATAGAGTAACTTGGTTTCTAACCTGTCTTTTCTTCCCTACTTTCCTTTCTCTTTATCACTGATTTTCCTTTAACAACTAACATCCAATCCAACTGCACTGACTGTCCCAAAACACTAAATCAACTTAAAGGAACACTCCACTATTTTTGAAAATAGGCTCATTTTCCAACTCCCCTAGAGTTTAAACAGTTGAGTTTTCGAATCCATTCAGCCGATCTCGTGTCTGTCGGTAGCACTTTTAGCTGCAGCTTAGCATAGATCATTAAATCTGATTAGACCATTAGCATCTCGCTCAAAAATGACCAAAGAGTTTCGATATTTTTCCTATTTAAAACTTGACTCTTCTGTAGTTACATCGTGTACTAAGAAAACTCTTGAAACTCTAGAAACTCTTTGGTCATTTTTGAGCGAGATGCTAATGGTCTAATCAGATTTAATGATCTATGCTAAGCTACAGCTAAAAGTGCTACCGCCAGACCTGGAGATCGGCTGAATGGATTCGAAAACGGTAAAACTCAACTGTTTAACTCTACGGGAGATGGAAAATGAGCCTATTTTCAAAAATAGTGGAGTGTTCCTTTAAACAGATTTCAGGACCTTTGACCAAAGGGCACACTAATGTCCTCTATTTGACCTGGTGGAGAATGTTTTATCCCAGTTTTATGATTATACTTACTTGCATATACAGTATAATAACAGAGGCAGATGTAAAAATTCAGTTCAGGAATTTTAGATCTGTCTGGAAGTGACAGATATACGATTTACAAATATTACTGTCAATTTTTCTTTACGCCTCCTATCTGAGTGTTAAAAAAGTCATATCTGGTATATATTGTAAATTGCATAAATTCACCTGGTTTTATAAGAATGGAGGGAGTTTTAATGTCAAAATCTCATTAAAAACCAAAGAAAACAGAGAGGGAAATAATGTAGTTGTCCAAAAAAGTGTGATATTTGACGGAGTGAAAAGTTTTCCATTTTAGAGAATTGTCTTCAATGACTGAAAAAATTTATTCATTTTAAGCAGCAAAACTGTTTAAAACAAACTAAATGGGTAAAACGCTGACGTTAATGAAAGAAAAAGTAGATGTAGGGTGAAAAAACGAATCTCTGCCTCATTTTGTGTAGAGCACGCTCAGAGTAACACTGACCTCAATATTCACTTCCTGCTTCTCAGTTCACGTTCAAAGCATGCTTCAACTGACTGTTACAGGAAGAGAGTGGAAGACAGAGCACATGGAGAAGGATGGTAGAAGAAAAGACCTCCTCGTTCACAACATCAGCAGCCTCTTTCTTGATTTTAGACATAAAAAAAAATTCTACTCTACTGCACAAATCTACCTAGTGACGTTTACTAGTTTCTCCTACGAAGCACAAGGACAGACATGTTTATATATAGAGGAAATGAAAATACAAAAAGTAAACATCCTGACTTTCACACACAATACGAATAAAATAATTAAAAAATGCCATTTCATTACAATAGGATAAAATAAGATGCCTTGCATATCGGGGGGGAACAAGAGCAAACATAAGTAGGAAAACCATGCATACCGAAAGGCGATATGGGGGACTTAAACTGAACGTATCACATAGTGCAAAAATCCCAAGAAGAAACGAGGGACTAAATCAAATGCGAATGTACTCACATCAATACCAGCCCAGCCCAACCCACCCAGCCCCTTCACCAAACATCCCATTCGAAAATCCCCACCGGTGTGGACTTTGGTCTGTCCTGTGATAAACAAGGCATCAGGAGATGAGATTGCTGTGGTGTTGGAGGTCTTATGACTCTATCCCTGCCCACTTTGGTGAATGCCGCTAGCGCATCTTGTGATCATCAGTGTTGCCCATGTTGGAGCCAGGGCTGGGGTCCTGCTGTCGCCTGGGCTGGGTCATCACACACAAACACCCACGCAACCCAACAAACAAACCAAGACAGAGACAGAATACAGTTAAAATGGTTGTGCTGTGCTTGAGTCGCTCACATATTGGTTCTCAAACTACAAACACAATACAAGTAATAGGTTGCAGCCAACATGCAATTGCTCTTTGTGTCCAGCAGGGGATGGCAGAGATCAACTTCAGTCTAGACGCTAAAAATTGAGTTGCTTTTTTTGGTTGAAGTGCCAGACATTAGTCATTAGTCAGGGGGAAGAGTCTTCAAATCACTAGCCTTAAAAATAAAGATATGACTGATGGCCTTGTCACAGATACATATGTTTATGTGCCTATGTCTAAATCTCTCTCTGACATAGATGTCTGAGCACAGACAGGGCAGACGGACGGACAGACAGACAGGCAGACGGTGAGAGAAAGATAGACGAAGAGGCAGACATAGAGTATCTCACATAGTGTGAGGTCATCATCTGTGCAACCTGCGATTATAGCACGTTCTAACCCTAGAGCTACGCAGGGCTGTTTTTACTCTACCCGACGCCTGGAAATCCCATCTTTAAGCGTACGCATTAACAGATGAAGCTGTTATAGCTGTCATACGCACAGCAACAAAGCAGTCTTGTGCATAAACTTACTGTAAACAATATGCCTTAGCTAGCTCTACATGATTTCGATGAACTGCAGAATTAAACGTATTTGTCTAGTGACGCGTTGCTTGTTATTTATTCACTACTGTTCAAAGGTTTGAGATGAGTAAGAATTTTTTCAGCAGGGACACATTAAATTGCTTTTTTATGATGAATCACTTGTTGTATTCCTCATTTGTGAGTCGCTTTGGATAAAAGCATCTGCTAAGTGAATAAATGTAAATGTAAGAGTGACAGTAAAGACATTTTTTTATAGTAAGGGTAATATCTAATCAACATTAATGTCACATTTCACATGTTTGTTTTAAAATATAAAAATACATAAACAACAACATTTCAGAAATAATTAGAATAAAAGTATATACCAGTAATATATATATATATATATATATATGTGT